GTGTGTGTGTGTGTGTGTGTGTGTGTGTGTGTGTGTGTGAGAGAGAGAGAGAGAGAGAGAGAGAGAGAGAGAGAGAGAGAGAGAGATGCTTCGGCTCAGCTGTCTGGGACTATCCATTCGAAGGCCGTACCCACACTGGGACTCCACCACCGCATGCACATTGAGCTAAGGAAGTCCCTGTGTGAGTACGGCCTGTGGCCAAAGCTAGCCGCTGGCAAGCTGGAACGCTGAAGATTTTGGACCGCTGCCCGGAGCTTAGCACGACTCCCAGATGATGGCGAACTCCTGCGTTAGCTTGAGATCCTGAGCGTCGACGGTCATGAGGCCGCTTTTCGCTGGTTTCCCAGGATTCAGCCGCACTTCGGAGTTGAGGTTGAGGTCTCTCACGACGTTGCACTGGCTGTACGCCACCACACCGAACTTGTCCGTGAACTCGTAGTTATCATCGAAAGAGCCGGCTATGACGCGTTGGGCTCGAGCTGTCCCTGTTGTCCCGGAGATATAGTAACTGGTCTGAGCGGTCCCGGTCACGCCGGCGTCCAGCTTGGCATATCCGCGCATAGTGACAGTCCCCAGGTGATAGCGGAAACCTGGCGGATAACTCAGATTGACCGTCACCGTGCACTTCTTCCTCAGACCGTCCAGGCCAGCGTCTGTCGACGCAGTGTACTTGCTGAACATCACGGTGATTGCTTGTCCGTCATCCGACACCGCCCCCTCCGCAGACCCTGGCGGGCAGCCATCACCTGCGTACTGGAAACCCGTGATCTTGACCGTACCCGCTTCCGGGGATGCAGCTTGTCCGTGGATAGGCGACTGGAGGAATGCGAGCAACAGCAGCGCCGCCATGGTGGCGATGGAGGGGACTGGTGGGAACCCTCGTTGCGCCATTGTGATCAGCCTCGACGTCTTGCTTCTTCTTCCTTCCTGGCAGGCCGGGAGGAAGTCTTCGTTGTCAAATTCTGCAGGAACCTCTACAACCACCTCCACATCTACGAAGGCCACCGTCTCAAGTGAGTGCTGGAGTGCAAGTGTAGCCGTGCTCACGCTCCTCTTCACCCGCAGCGTGCCCAAAAAAAAGACCCCTTCCAACTCTTCCTATCTCAGCTACGAATATGTCGCATAGGTCACACACTTTAAGCCAGGAACCTCTGAATCACCATCGCTACCCCTTCCAGCCCAGCTGTCCGGGCTTTTATGGGCAGCAGCGAGGGGCACTGTAGGTTACCTTACCAACTAGCATGGTGCATCACGAAGCAGGGCTCGCCTTAGGTACTGGCCACAACACTCTCGAACTGAAGGAACACATGCTCTTGGATCCCTGGACAGGGGTCCGAGAAACGGCTTCCACAGCACACTCGACTTCCTTTGACTGCTGGCCATCGTGCCTGCGGTCAGCCCTATTTCGGGACAGCCCGGACAGGTGGCGGGCCGAAGGTGCATCAAAGTGCGTAGCTGTGCTCTTTCCAGCGCCTCCTATCTCCTGTCCGTTTCCTTCAGAGTGTTCGCGAGCCCTCCCAATGTACAGGCATCAGGTTTAAGGTCAGGTGCGAGCAAAGCCACACTTTACTGTCTACCTTGTCCTCGAACATAGACAGTCACAGTCTCTACAGGGATTTCTCTTTTTCTTCCGAGAGTGGCATGGCAACTCTGGGGAAAAAGAAAAAAAAACGAGTGATGTGGTAGGCAAGCCCCTTAGAAAAAGAAAAAAAACGAGTGATGTGGTAGGCAAGCCCCTTAGTTGTATGGTGCATATTACCGCTGGTAATGGGGCTAGCCGGGTCTCCACACAGGCTTTCGAAACGTGCAGAATTGACGTGGTGTCTTCGCCACACAGCCTTTTGAAACAAGTTCTTTCCAAAAAGTTTCGAAAGGTGTCAGATTGGCCGGTGTCGAAAGTCATTTCGAAGAGATGAGATCCTCCCACCTGTCATGAGAATTTCTTCGAATGACCTCGTGCAGAATTGACGCGGTGTCTTCGCCACACAGCCTTTCGAAACAAGTTCTTTCCAAAAAGTTTTGAAAGGTGTCGGATTGGCCAGCGTTGAAAGTCATTTCGAAGAGATGAGATCCTCCCACCTGTCATGAGAATTTCTTCGAAAGACCTCGAGTTGTCTTGTGAAAAGGCACACTTGAAACTGTCGATTGGCAAAAACCAAAAACAAAAAAAAAGGGTGGAATACAAGGGCTAATCCACTACTCTCTTGTGAACAAAAGACAAAAATGATGGCGGTGTATCTTTCCATGTTCTAGCCAAGGATTGACACTCTCTTTTTACACGCGTCCAGAGCAGTGGAGCCAGGCCCTAATGTGCATATAGAAAGTCCTCGGTGTTTCCAAAGTCGTTGTGGCTTGGGGGGCCTCCTTTCTACGAGCTGCCTTTCGAAAAAAGTCTGACACCTTTTGGGGAAAACGCCTTCATTGGATAGGCTGTGTGGCAAGCCCCTTCCCGTTCATTATCGGTGTGCAAAATGGCTTGGACATTTGTCGGAATTACCGTGGAGATTGACTGTCCAGTTCTGTATAGCTCCCAGCCTGCACAAGTACTGTCGTGGACCGTCCTCGTAGCAAACCATGGACCCTCCGCCTTTTTTTTTCTTTTTTTTTTTGGAAACTACTTAATAAATTGCAATATGAATGGAAAGAGAGGCCGGCGAACCCATATGAAATGCTGGGACCATTACCCAGATTCGGCTGATGGTGGAAAGTTGTGGAAACAGGGTCCAGTGTCCCCTATAACCATCCAAAGTAACAGACCTTCCAAAAATTAAACCTTGAAGCACGCTAAAATTACAGACCGCTACTGCTACCACCAGTACTTGGCCCAGCTATCAAGTCCGAGCCTCCAGCGACCCGTATGTAGAGCCTGCAAAGCCTGGCAGTCCTGGCAGTACCAGTAGCTGGACGGGCCAAAAGAAAACAGCAAAAAAAAAAAAGAGCACAAGGCTGTGGATGTGAATGCAGTTGGATGCAGTGCTAATGTGAGCACGTCGCAGTTGGGTGTAGCAGCCCCCTGGCGTTTCTGTCAGAATATAAAAGTAAAATAAGAAAAAAAAAACCAAAGAAATGAATCTCTAAGAAAGAAAGAAAAAAACGGAACATGAATTTGGCCCTGAAATTAGTTAGATACATTTGTCTGTGTGCAAGTGTGAGTATGCCCTCAACGAGGACAGGTGTCAGAAAATTAGGTGTCAGAAAATTTTCTACAGTAGTGCGGTCGACAATTTCGCCCCCCTTCGCCACATAGCCTGTCGAGGGGCGAGGTTGTCGAAAGTTGCCAAGTGTACTCAGCCTTTTGACAGGTGCTGTGTGGCGAAGGGGCCTGTCGGGAGTTGTTAAATGGACGAATTGGTGCACGCAAGCGGACGAGATGCAGATGCAGTTTTTGACAGCCACTGTTGACTGCATACAGACAAACAGGCCATGGCTCTCAGGGAGCAGTCGCTGACAATGGAAATAGAAGCCTTTTTTCGAAAGGTGGGCGGGTCACTGTCCTTCACCTGCAGGCTGGAGGAAAGGGTTGCTGGAGGGCGGCTGTCGAAAGTGCCATCCTGACACCTGTCGAAAGTTTTTTGAGCCGCAATTCTGTGTGGCGATGCAAAAATTGTTGAAAACCGGGTTTTCGACAGCCTGTGTGGCACAGGCTGTCGAGCCTCTTAGTACATCACGGGATATGCTCTGCCTCCCGGGCAGGGGAATCTAAGAAAAATGAAAAGAAAACAAAAAAAAAATAGACATCCAGAATCTACCTGAAATACTAGTTAGAAGCATTCCACCAAGGACAGAGGTGACCAGAAAAATGAAAAGAAAACAAAGGCAGAAAAAATGGACATCCAGAATCTACCTGAAATACTAGTTAGAAGCATTCCACCTAGTTCTTTTTGTTTTTTCGGTTCTTTTCTACTTCGCAATTCTCAGCGACCTGCGGGTCTCTCAGATGCCTCGAAGCGCATATTTGCATTTCTCAGTTTCCCTTCCTATGATATCGTAGAGAAATGGGAATCTTTGGCCCATGTCCTTGTGAACCAGACCAAGGGGCTCGCCACACCTATCCCCAAAACTCTTTTTTTTTGCAGAGCGCTCTCCAACGCGGAAGTTGGCGAAAATCCCTTCCGGAGGCGTCCTCGCCACACTGCACTCTCCAATGAATTTTTGGAGAGCGCTCTCCAACGCGGAAGTTGGCGAAAATCCCTTCAGGAGGAGTCGTCGCCACACTGCACTCTCCAAGGTAGAGCGAAATCTCCCACGGACCCACGCACAAGACCGGGATCCTCGACTGTGTACATTACGCAACGGGGCTGGCGTGGTTCCAAGGCACCTTCACGGTTGGAGAGCGCTCTCTAACCGTACACGACAAATTGCAGGCCGCAGACACTTGTCGGTCAAGGCACACTCGCGAGTTTCGGGTGGGTTTGGGTTGTCCTTGGGAGCGCTCTCCAAACGAGAGCGTGTGCAGGCGCGGCGGCGGACTGTGTCTGGTAGTGAAGCCACTAATTTGAGAGGTGGACAGCGGACAGTAAGTGGAGCGATGTCGCATTTTCCACTGTCCGCTGTACAATTTTTCGCTCTGACAACTGTCCACCAACTGTCCGAAAAATTGTACCACCAACTGTCCGAAAAATTGTACAGTGGACAGTAGTGGAGCGAGACCGATTAGTGTTAAGAGTGGGTTGGCAGAGAAAAGAGTTGGGGGCTCGCCACACCTATCCCAAAAACCGGGTTTTGGAGAGCGGGATCACCGCCACACCCACTCCCGAAAGTGGCCGTCAATTTTTTTCTGGAGAGCTGTCAGAAGGCAGGTTTGGAGAGCATTCTCCAAATAGCGGACAGTGGAAAATGTGACATCCCTCCACTACTGTTCACTGTACAATTTTTCGGACAGTTGGTGGACAGTTGTCAGAGCGAAATATTGTACAGCGGAAAGTGGAAAATGCGACATCGCTCCACTTACTGTCCGCTGTCCACCTCTCAAATTCGTGGCTTCACTACGACACAGTGATAGAACTAGACAGGACGTCCATAGGGTTCTGTCCGCCCAAAGGGCCTCGCCACACCTATCTCCAAAACAGCGATTTGGAGAGAAGTGGCATCGCCACAGAACTCCCGAAAATCGCAGTCAGAAAGAATCTGGAGAGCGGTCAGAATGCGGTTCTCGGGAGTGCTCTAGAACTTTGTGGATAGCCCCGCCTGCAAAGCACCGGATTTGCAGCTGTCTCTTATACACATCTAGATGTGTATAAGAGACAGGGGTGTAGTAGAGGTTGGTTTCTGGACCCACGACAGGTACCTATCTACAGTCAGCAACTAATTTATGGGACCCTGACCATCCTATCTTGGAGGATCCCCCTCAGACCGCCCCTACTGCAGGTTCCCCAATGATTTCCTCCACCAGAGTCTGTCTACTAACATCCCTCCTACCGGGATCCCTTAAACCACCAGTACTTGGCCCAGCTATCGGCCGCGGAAAAGAATAGAGTAGAAACATTTCTAGTTGGATGAATTTGGGCGCTCCTGTAGTGGCCCGTACGTTTCCTAACATTGTGTAGCGTTAACGCTACGCGACTTTAGGAAGTACTGGTGGTTTAAGACAACTACTGTAGGTTCCCCACCGATATCCTCCAGCAGAGCTTGTCCCAAGCCAACCCTCCCCCCAAACGGGACCCCATCCCACCTCAGGTCCTTGCCCCCCCCAAAGCAGAGCCTAAGATAACCAACACACATGAGCAGTCTAACCACAAAACGGTACCTGCATCCTCATTAGACTACTAACTGTATCACGCAAACCCCTCTTAGGCCAGGACCCAGCATACAACACCATGGACAGTCCCCTGGGTGGTGCACAGGCAGTGTCTGTAATAGCTTACCATGCGTCAGCCCAAGGGGTGTATGTCCAGCCGTGCGTCATTCTAATGCCCTGCCGGTGTCCATGCGCCAGGCTGCGGATTTGAACCCGCAACCTCATACCACAATGGGCATTTCCAACCGGTGCTCTAACCACTGAGAGCACCACTGAGCTACATCAAGTGGACGTATTTTGGCCCCAAACTGGAGAGTGCCCCTCGGCCTACAACCATCTGTTGCCACCTTTTCTGGGTTCGCCACACCACTCTCGAAATGTGAAAAAGACAAAAATGTGGCCATGTTCTAGGGGGAAGTTCATTCTCATTTTGCACATCTCTCTCCAAAAAATGTAGGGCCTCGTCTGACCAATTGGAGACTGCCGCCTTGGAGAGCGCAGTAGCCCTCTCGAAAGGTTTTCTCAAATCTCCCGCGGTCGGGAGTGCTCCCGAACTTTTTTGCGTTTTCGTGATAGGTGTGGCGAGGCCCTACCTCCAGGTGCACTCTCCAAATTCGGGTCCTCAGGGTGAATCCCTTGAAGGACTTTCTGCGTAACGAATTTTGCAGGCTGGGAGCTGTACATTCACGGACAGCAGATTTTCGACGGGGTTTCTGAAAACTGTCCAAGCCATTTTGCACATGTACAGTGGAGCTATCCCGCGTTTCCGCGACTCCCATAGCTGTCCACACACTGTCCACAACTTTGTACAGTGGACAGTAGTGGAGCGAGACCCTTTCTCGCCATTCAGTTTCAAGTTTCAACGGCGCGTGCAACGGGTATAAATCGCGCACGATATTGCTTGTCGTTCGACACTAGTGCGTTGGTGTAGGCCAAGTGATCGTGATCGTAAGTAGGCACATACCATCACATCGGAGTAGTGCCTGCCACCGGTGAGGACGAAGGCGAAGAGAAGGGAGTATACTGCCAAGTAGCCATCGCGAGGAGAGAGTAGGGCTCTCGTCGGAAGGACGCTTCGTAGGTGAAGATCGCAAGTAGAGAGAGAATAGTGCTTAGCGTAAGAGGGCGAAGTTGACAACAGCGCCGATGGCTCGATCAATGTTTGCCGTCGTGGCCGCCATGGCGGCGTTGGTTGTCGTTTCGCTTTTGAGTGTTGCTGTCCCTGCAAGCGCGAAGCCGCCGAAGGTGACCATCGACTCGGTCACCTACTTGGGCTCGGGCTGCAACTGGGAGAATACCAACTACGTGCTGTCGAACGACTACTCGACCGTCACCTTCATCTTCGGCGCGATGGTTGCCACCACGGACGGAGGGCTGGCTAACAGGAGGAAGAACTGCCAGGCGTCGCTCGGGTTGAAGTACCCCAAGGGCTGGAGTCTGTCGCTGGGAAGCGTGACTGGGCGCGGCTACGGCAAGCTCGCTAAGGGCGTGAAGGGCACCTATCAGACGAGCTACTACTTCTCCGGACAGACGGGGACCGCGTACGCCAAGCGCACTCTCAACGGCAAACTGGAGCTCAACTACGAGTACACCGACGTCTTCGGCCTGCTCGTGTGGAGCCAGTGCAACAGCGTGCCCAACCTGAACATCAACTCCGAGGTGAGAGTCGACGGCCCGGCGGGTCGCGAAGGCATCATGACGCTGGACTCCACGGACAAGAAGTTCAAGCTCATCTACCGCCTCAACTGGAAGACGTGCTGATGATGAGAGGC